AACGCAGTTCTGTGCGATGGACGTCGATCAACCGGAGCAACAGAAACGTCTCATCTATTTTGCGTTCATCGCGTTTTTCCTGGCACCTGGTGAGCAGAGATCGGTCTGTGATAAGAGAACACTTATTGATGTTATCATTGTAGCCATTCTTATCACCATGATGTACTGTCAAATTGGAACACGAATAGCGTCCAGGGATTCTTTGCTTTGTGTCGACAAGAAGCAGATGAAGACAAAGTCAACACCAACCGTCACTAAGATGCTGAGTGAGTGAAATCTTACAAAAAATTCGTAGAGGAATTTTCGCTAACGGTGAGCTCGCCTCCACAATCCTACCTCCAGCCGTGGTTTCCCACCGACACGTTCCTACAGCGCACCCGACAGGAGGAGCGGATACAACAACCTTCGGAGACATAGCAGGGGTGACGGCCGGCACCTCACCCTACCCACTAGTGGCCGGTGGGCTGACCTAAGTGTGCAGCCCTACAGCCTCTATATACAGAAAGAAAACAGCCACAATTAGGATAAACCCACATAAACAGAAATACAAAAGAAATATACAAGTAATTACACATATTTATCAACGCAATAACTCACCACTTCCTTCAACCTGCCACGACCGGAGGTGACATTAGCTCGGGCTCCGGGAAGACATTCCCCTTTGCTTTGGGCTGGCCTCATCGCGTTAACCGGTGAATACCCACCTGCCACCGGTAACGAGCCACCACGAGCACCGACAGGTAGGCGACTGGCTTCGAACCCAGAGGGCGCGGCCAATGGCGTCACGGCACATTGGCAACCGAGCGCAAGTGGACAGAGGCGCGCTTTGCGCCCAAGGGCCACCGTCGTAATCGCGACGCCCATTATATTTGAGGGTCTAGATCTGTTTGTGAATGTATCGCTGTCTGTCACAAAATTTAATAGCACTAGAACTGGCTGGAGAGGCATAACCAACTGTGGGATAAGTGGAGCATCAAGAAATATGAAACACACATCAGCTGGTGGATCCTCGGGCAAGGTGGCCGCTCGTGCTCCGAACAACGGTGCCGATGACAATTTTCGGTTTCGTTTCTACCCCAGACACCGGCAAAAAATGGGCGAAGCTGTGCGCAGTGTTTCCCTGGCGAAGTAGAGAGACTCGCGGTGGGCGAAGCGTTTGCTAAATGGGCGGCACTTATTAAGAATTGTTCATTAGCTATGAGATGTTCTGCAAAAGGACCCCTGAACTTCCCCTCTTTCTCCAGTGACATTCCGCTTCCTTCATCCATCAATCAAAAATGTCGCGTCGTCGCGATGTGTCTGACTAACCATAAGTCTCCTTTTCAGTTTCGGTGGTGGTTGTCGTTCTTCATCTGTTGGTTGCCGTTCCACATTCAACGGCTTCTTTCGCTTTTCATCAGCTATTATGAAGGCCAAGTTTCGCCGGCAGTAGAGGTCCTGTTCTCTCTTGTCTACTACATCTCAGGTATTTCACTTACCTTAGCTCGATAGCCACTTCAGAAGCAGCCGAAGCTCATATTCATGTGTTAAGGATGCTGTTACTACTCCAACTCCGCCATAAACCCTATTTTGTACAATTTGTTCTCCGCTAAGTACCGTAAAGCGTTCTGCATGACGATTCTTGGCCGTCGAATTGCCGAAAAGATCCGTCCACAGTGGTTCGCATTGCGAAGCAAGTTGTGGGTCTTTGAAGTCCTTAGACCACACGAAGTGATGATTGGAGCTGTTCTTTGATTTCAGGCGGTCGGTTCAGGAGCACTCGTCGCCCCACCTTGGGATCTCCGCGAACTCCTCTGCAAAGTTCAAGCCGGAGAAACAGCCACTGTGCAAACTCGGCACCGGCATTGTGACCACGGCTATACTCGTATGAGGATTACAGCCGCGAACTACACGGGATTCACCGGTGCATCACATTTCACATGCTATTCTAGAAGCCTATCTTATACATATCTTTATGGGGCCTTCCTGCCAATCCTAATATATCAATTTTTACTTTTCCCCCGCTCCCTTTTTTGTGACCTTCGCAATTGAAGGGTTTGTGTGCTGTGATCTTTCCACATAATCTGAATTTTCTGCCTCACTGTTTCTGTATGCAAGATTTTCCCGATTTCATTGCTCAGAATCTCACGGGTTTCCTCTATCTCATTCACTATTCATTCGTTAATGCTTCTTTTCAGATTTCATTAGATCTTGTTCCCAAACCTATACATATATTTATGCTGTTATGAATAAAAATGATTTTTTAGTCCGTGATATTCTGTTGCATGGCCCCAGAAAAAAAAACGTTGAGAATTTCAGTTGGACCTAATTGTCCATCTGCTTGGGAGCCTTGTGTGCAAGCAGGGTCAATTGTCGCAATTGGCTGCTTTTGGAAGTTGTAGACCCCCCTCCCCCACAATACCCATTGTTTTCGTGCTCTTACAGCAGCTGAGTCGCGGAATTTTCAGAGGTTTTCTCCAAATCGAGCCTTGGTATTCCGAATTTCCGACATATCCTTCTTTCCAAAATACGGTGCCATTTCTTCAAGTACGACCATGTTGATCCCTTCCCACATGACTCCACCAAAGGAACAACTGTGGTATAAGCATGCGAACTGAAGGGAATTGGGCTATTCTCCATATTTGACAGCTGAGCGTGACGCTGCGTGGGACTACGGTTGGGTGGTAAGGACTGAGATTGCCGTAGAGATGAGCAGGGTATATTGCTGGGCCGTAGACTCCACTCGAAGGAAGCCGCTCTTCCACCGCTGGAACGGAAAACCCTCGAGGCGCTTTGGATTCGGGCCATAGTCCACAAGTGAACTGAGGGAAAAGCTTCCCAACAACGCGACACATGAAGCCGCGGAGGAAGACCTCCACCTGTGAGATTTGAACATAGTTTCTCAATTCACTGCCTGGCTTATCTCCAAGGGGCTTTCCGCTATTCCAGGGGAATCGGGATTGAGTTTACAGTAGGTGACCCAAATAACGATCGCATGACGAAGTCTCTGATCCTCAACTTCGATAGGGTTGTTGAAAAGTTCCGTCGGGTAATTATTGATTGCTATATACTCCAGCCTCTGCAGGACTCTAATCCAAAGTAGCTAGTTGGAGATCATTTACCAAATTCGTGAAGAGCTGTGAAGAAGAAATCAGCCTGAGGCAATTATGGCGAGGTTCATTCAGAGCTGTATATTCTAAAATTCGAGGCTTTCCATCACAGAGTTCTTATGCTTTTAAGAATATTCAAGTTGACTGCATGTTTAGTTACCCAGTTGAGGGTCGCATGGGTGGATCCACGTTGCCGTACGAGATTTGAGTGTATGGCCCACACCAAAGAAGTGCGAATCGCAAGCAACAACCCCAGATCAAATTGTTGAAGTAACAGCGGTTGATAATGGTGGCGTGGAAAGAACGTGTTTGGACGAGTTTTTTGAAGGTAAACGCATCAATCGATAGGGCTACTTTACCTTCTACCTGTCGGCTATCTTATCCGCCACGTCACGAGGTATCTCGTCCATAAGTTCACATTAGATACGCCATTAGGTCACTTTGTAAGGCCCTAGCGCCTATTGTCGCGCACTTTCGAGCCGCGACAACGGCACATCTGCTGCTCGTGGGCTTCTCTATCCTCACCACTGAATAGATTCTTCGACACGACCTATTCTGGGGTTGTTGTTCTAACCTGAGCTCCGTTTCAATTGTCGAGCAAAGTAGCTGCATCGTGTTACAGAGAAATGCTATTTTGACATACATCTGTGTTTCGGATATCATCACAGTCTTCTTAAAAACAATTTATTGCCAAATAGCACAACGTCCAAGCGGACCAGACTACTTGGCCAAGTTTTCTTTTTCACACTTCTTCGTGCACTTGAGAAATCCTTCCGGGCTGGCCACTATATCGTAACAAAATTTCACGCACATTTCTCCGACCTGCACTTTCTGAACAGTTGCAGTGATGAATGACTTACAATCGAGTTATTTCCATTGAATTATCACAGCCGAATGCAAGACTGTACCTGTTCGCTAGGGGGCTGCGGAGGTGGGGCCCCGGAAGCGGCTATCTTGTCTAGTTCACACCTTCTCGAACAGTCGAAATACTCAGTTGGATGGCGCGAGTTTTTGAAACACTTTTGCGCGCATTCCGGTCCAATATTCAGAGTCTGAACAGTGACAAATATGAGTGATTAGCAAGCTAGTGACTGATATCAGCTTATCAGTGCCGAACGCTATTGTAATATACCTGGCCGTGATCTAGAGGTGAGCGCTGGCTATATCTGTTGGGCAACGAAGACGACGACGACGACGACGACGACGACGACGATGAGCCCGACTTGTCCAGTTCACATTTTCTTGTGCATTTGAAAAACTCTGTTGGTGTGGATACTATAGGGAAACACTTTTGTATGCATTCATTCCCAATGTGCACCAACTGAATAGTTACAGTTGAAACGTAGTCATTGCCATTAGTTTATCACGCTGAGTGCAGGGCTATACCTGTCCGCGATCGTTGGGAGAGGTGCCAAAGCGGTCTACAGGCGCGGATCCAGACGACGTGCCCTTTTCATCCTTTGCGCACTTAATCCCACAATTCAAATACTCAGTAGGATTCTTTGATTGTTTAAAACATTTTGTTGCGCACGCCGGGCTGATGTCCACCTTCTGAACAAGTTATCGTTAAAGGGCAACCAACTAATGATAATGATCAGTTTTCTACAGCCGCTTACTTCGACCGAGACTGCAATTTGGAATATTGACGCAGTGATGAAGAAAAAGAGCAGGATGACCTGTTTCATTTTGCGAACCCCTAAAAACAATCTTCGACCATGGTTAGTGATGATAGTTGTGAGCTCCGGAAACATGTAAGTGAAACATTTCAAGGTGCAATACAAGTGGGGTGGGCACGCCCTACTTTTTGAATACGCAATGTAGTATGTATACTCCCTTTCAAAAAAACAAGAAGAGCGTTGGTGCAGACCATACACCACAAGTGACGACGGCCTCACAAAATGTAAATGTTTTCTGCCAATGAAATGATTAGCCTGGCAGTTGTATTCCATCAGTTGCCGTCGTCATATATGATGTATGGTCTGCATCCCACGCGCTTCTCGTTTTCGAAAGGGAGGGTAAGTGGGGACTGCTGCCCGCTACTAGGACGTGAACAAACGCCATGAAGTAACTAACACATTCCAGCTTTTCACGCATGTCAAGTGACTGCCCTCACACCTCCCCCTCCCTAGATTGGACTACACTC